GTTTACGTTATCGTTGTTTAACTTAAATACGATTAATGTTTACATTGGACTCAAACACTGAAACACTTAATTTTGTAACCAATTATAATAAAGAGTTGAGACGAAATCAAATGTTTACTTCATTACTGACTTTAATACACGTATAAAGAAATTACATTTATTTAAAAGTCACCAGAATTTTTAGCTTTTAGCCGTAATTGTCTTACTATTTGTCACATTATTATCAGGATTTGCAGTACATGTATTACATGTCCGCATAAATACTTTAGATCCCAGTTTTTTCAATTAAAAAATCCCATTTTCTCCCAAATTAAAACAGTTTTTGTGTTTTACACAATATTATAATGCACTCAATCCAGGGATTGAATATAAAATACTATTTCACAGAATCACACATTTAATAATAACTGGCAATAAATTCTCTATTTATTCCATATAATACTTTACAGAATATTTTAACTTTATATTATTCTTATTAACACTTATATAAAATTTATAATAAATATTTAATAAATAATTATATAATTTTTACCAGAATTTGATTGATATGTCGTTAACCACTCCATTGCAAGACGAGTGTATATTTCAAACACCATTGGAAATAATAAGCAAACTATTGGAGGCGCGACTAATTAATGTATGCTTTATTGAAAATCTACATTTATAAACATTATTTACACATTGATTTTAATAAAACTAATTATCTATTTAAACATAAAACAGTTACATAGAGAACAAACCCCAGAAATGCGAGCAAATAATAAAGCACTTAATGAAGAAATAATTGCAATCCTATCGCCTCTTCTGGAGAGAGCGAATCCAACTCAAGATATTTGTAATTTCTTAAGTCAAGTGAGTTTTGTTATGTCTAATGTATTCACTAGTATTTAATACTTTATTCATGTGTTTTTAATGCAATAATTTTACATTTTGATATTAAATGCAATTTATTTTTAATAATATATAAATCATTTTAAATTGAAATTTATTTAATAGAAATATTCTTGAAAAATGGGCATTTCCGTTTATTAATATGTAAATTAATATACAATGCACATAATTTTATTTGTTTAATCTAAATTTACCATTATAAATTATCTTTAATGTGATAATTATGCACATTTTAATTGCCCTTTTATTAAATATTTATTTATAATATATTATAATCAAATTAATGGCCAGTGTTTTGGCTAAAAAATCCCAAAATTATTGATTTCAAAATAAACTCTATTGTATTTTAGGAAAGAATATAAATAGAAATGATTTTATAAAAATTTATTACAATAGGTACACAGAACACTTTTATTAAATAGTATCAATATTTATATTACAATATCCTTTTGAGACAGCAATTAAATTATAATTGTATATAAAATATAATATTTGTAACAAAACATGATTTGCTTATTGTTTGGATATATTGAAATTGATAGCACTGTCGCCTAAACCCGCGATCAATGGTAGTTCGGGACCATTACAGCGAAATAACCCAAAGAATATTGAAACATAACATGGATTTTAGTAAATATCCCAAAATGCGAGTTTTGGTTCAGGACTATGTCTTAGCGCTTAATTCTCAAAACGATGGCACAAATCTTGTCAAACAATTCATTAAATGGTATGTTTTATAATACAATAAAACTATTTAATTAATTACTAAAACCATAATAAAATGTTCATAAATATATCGCACAAATTCATTGCTTAGAGACATATTTATACTTATCTTGAGATTTGTTTGAAAATTACTGAATTTATAACTTTTATTGACTAAAACAATAAAAGCATATTTTTGTGATTATATAAATTAATGATTTTCCGTTACTTACTATACATATGTAATCCATTATAATTTTGTTTTGAAATATTATATTAACAATAGCCTAAAGTCAACATTAATACTCGTGAGCTACAGAATATCTGAAATGAATTTTTTTTTGTATTATCAATATGGTAATATAACGTTAGTATTATTTAGGGTCATTTTATTTCTATACGTTTATAATGTTTATTCCAGTTGCAATACTTTAATAATAAAATCTTGCCATTTATTACTTATGTAACTATTTTTTATTACTGCTAATTATCCAAAAATGCACGAGATATTAGAGCTTAATTATATTTGTTATATTAAGTTATCCTAAATCCTAGAGTCTAAGCAGTGAATTACATTCAAGCAGTCAAATTAGCTTTAATTAAATATAAAGTATTACAATGTATGTAATGTTTGGTTATTTCTAAACAGTGTTCACGGGTTCAGCAGCACATGTCCGCACCCACGAGTGCTCCTCAACATCACGTCCCTGTGTTTGGCCGCTCTCTCCACACTGTTTGAGGAGCGGAGGACTGATCTTAATTCAGATATTGAGGCAAATATAAGCGAACGATCCATCATTGAAGACGAGTGGAAATCTAAATTAAATTGTTTTGTAAATTTATTATATTTTATGTAAGTTTTTTGTTTACTTTATAAAAGTATTCTTCGTTGTATTTTTATATTAATAACCCATTAATTACTAATATTATTGACATTTAGTTCACTACATGAAGACTGGAGACCAGGATTAGCACAAATACTACAACCGATTCCCTTTCCCGACATAGCGTTAACTATTCCTGAATTCACATCGTATGTGAAGTTTATTATTTAATTTAAATAAATATTTATTTAATTGCAAAGACATAAATAGACGCGAAAAGTAATTTTAATTCTTTTTGTTTATAGATCTTTCAAATCTGTGATAAGAAACATATGTTCAGACAATAGATGTGAAGTTCATCTGACGTTATTAGGAGACAGAGAAGAAAAGGAGAATTGGCTGCAAATCTTCTGTCCCGGAAGTATTGCCTGCGATGACGAGGGAGACATTTGGAGTTTCATTGTATGTCTTTTATCATATTGATTTTGCAATACATTCATTCATTTTATTTCAATCGCTTTTTTTGCTCACATTTAGCTCAAGAATCTAATCGGTTGTTGTTGTCGTCGCAAAGCATTTCTGATGTCATTGAACAAGAGTTTGGGCCCCTGTATGCTGAGGGCCCTACGAGACGATGACACCTGTCAACAGATTCTGTGCGCTATGATAGAGCTGAATGTCGTGGAGAGCGTCGATATGCAGCAACAGATCATTACTACTCTTCAGAGCACACAAACAGGAAAATCACATTATCATGATCTCTGTCAACGACAACTCCACCTCAAAGAATTGGTTAGAATTTACATTTTGTTATTTATGTACAAAAATAATACATTTATTTGAAAGTTATTTGAGTGTTATATAAAGTCTTTATATTTCAATATCTATTCACCTCTATTATATGCATACTTACGTTAGGTGCAAAAATTGCATTATTCAATAACAATTCCTAGAAGTGTTTAATTGTTTATATACTGCGTTAAGCCATAAATCCCTCGTCGGATGCGATCCTATCTTTCAATATAAAACATTATTCTCAGAGATATTTAATTATATGTAAACATTATTGTCAAACATTTATAGCAACAAAAGGGAGGGCCGAGAAAGTTGACGCTCCCGTCGCGATCTACTGATGCAGACGTCACCAAACTATTGAGTTGCGGATCATTTGGAAACCTGGAGTGTCTATCATTAGCCTTCACTCAAGTGACCAGTGCTTGTGCTGAACACTTAATCAAATTGCCTTCACTTAGATATCTAAACCTATGGTCAACTCAGGTATTATTGTCTTTAAACCATAATATTTAATATTCCTATAATAATGTTTTCTGTATAAAATTGTGTCAATAGTTTGGTGACATTGGTTTACAATTGATTTCAGAGCACTTGCATAGACTACAAGTGCTAAACCTGTGCGAAACACCCGTCACTGATAAGGGATTAAAATATCTAACGGGTAAGAGATATTCTTATCTATTAATAAAAATGGTAGAAATAAATGTTGTAATTGGTTTTCTATAGCGATGAAGAATCTCAGAAAATTGAATTTAAACAGCACTCGCCTCTCCACTCAAACCTTTGAAGACCTCAAACTAAAACTACCGGCGCTTCAAGAGATTGATATTAGATATACAGATGCCTGGTAATGATGATGGTAATGGTGGTGGTAATGGTGATGCAGGTGATGGATGCGATGGGTGATAGTGAGATGATTGGTGTTGGGTGATCTGGTCATGAGATTGTCAGGGCTGGCATTGGGTTTGAGCCCACCATTACGTGCAAAACACTGATGCATTGAAACCATCAGTTTTATTTAAACTTATTATATAAACGCAACGCTGAATCAATTCTTATCTATTAATTTACTATCAAATTTATAATTAATAATATATTATAAAAATATATATAAATATTAAACGCTAGAAAATATTTGTCTTTTAAAATATTAGTCACAGCTATTGTGCTGATGGAAAATGTAGGGCAGTTTCAGTGCCCATTCATTCAAATTTTATATTATAATTATTATTCACTCATTAATATATATAATATAATATAGTAATCAATAATAATTGATATTATAATGACTGCACAGAACCTAAAAGCGATACTTTCCGGACGGACGCAAACACAACACACATATGTATATTCTTTATATATGGGTTGCAATGCATTCACGTATTCATTGTATTTACCGAACAATATATTCTCAATTTGTTGTATACTTAACGATGAAATGCAAACAACTTGTGTAACAAAAACCAAACCTTTAAACTAACACTTTATGCTAAAACACATTATTATAATAACAGTAATAAATGAATATATCGTCAGTTCATTATCTCTTCGCACGGCTTTCCATAGGCTTTGCAATAATTGTCTCGAAATTATAATTTATTTTTTATATATGTTTTAAATGTTTCTTTCATTTATATATGAATTTGTTGTTTTTGTTTCTAAACTTTTTTTAAATTATAAATTGTGTTATTTATTTAGCATTTAATGATAATCCAGTGATTTTTGTGAATCTTTTCAATTCATTTGCAAATTCAATGATTTATTGAATAATAAAAATCTAATTAATTTTAAATTACAATCTGTTATAACTTATAACACTCGTGGTTATAAAGTGTTTGGTTTTAATTAACAAATTATGAAATAATTGACAATTAAATACACCATTAAATCAAAGAATTACAGAATAAAACACAGAATATTCCACATTATGCTCAACACTGCCCTCTATTGAGTGCTAATACACATAATTGACAACAAAAGTGCAAAAAAGGCATAACTAATAGCTGTTGTAAAGCATTTATACGCCCTTTTGATAACAACGTGTGAATACATAATGTTTAGAGAAAAGCCGCCAAACATTTGAAATGACAACAAATGAAGAAACCATTGATTGAGTGATTGATATGACGACAGACTTGTGGCCAACGATGGCATCACTTGTCGAGGAACCGCTCCAATGGCGTCACTCCGTGTCTATAGTGAACACAACCATCGCTTCTTCAGCGACGACCAGTCGGTCGTTGAGTCAAAAAGAGGTTGTGGTGGCAGTCATGGGATGTCTGTCCGGATCGACAAGTCTTTGCTACCTCTGGAGCGAAGCCGACGAACACTTCCACGTGAGGGACGGCTTGAGTGCCTCCAAACCGGCACTCAATGAGACTCTGCTCTGCAATCATCTCAACTATTACTGCAGATACGGAACAGCTGTGCGACTGATGTATGACTTCTGTTATAACGAAGTGAAAGACGAAGACCTCGTCATCTGCTATACGTTTAACGCGTTTCGCACTTCTTTGCGGACACTTCTCATCGATTATATGAAACACTTGAACGCAATCACCGATTGTCTCGTCCAGAAGAATGTCGACAACAAGAGTGTCTCGCTTTTGGGCCTCAAGTATTGGTTAGATTGCGATCAAAACCACAACCTATTGCTGAGGATTGAGATCTTGTGGCAGATCTTTGAGCGGATCCGCGAAACCGCTTTCAACGACAGCACAAACTATTCGTTGAGTTTTGCCATTTTGGACGCCATTTACGACCGAATCGATGACAACCACAAGATCTCCATCTCTAGCGTCGTGTTTAAACTCTTCGCCGATTGTCTTAAGCCTACTCTCGAGTATTTTGATTACATCCTAACCAACGGTTCGGTTCGCGATTCACACCAAGAGTTTATATTTGTTGAGTCGGACGAAGACCTGTATTCGGCCAACTTCTGGGACAAATGTCTGCACATTAGAGACGATGTGTCAAAAGTGCCGCACTTTGTGGCCAAACATTTAAACGATATCTTAATGGCCTCTAAATCCCGTCTAATGAGCAGAAGACTATCGTTCGCCACAAATATGTCAATCGATAGGTCTATTGATTTGTACAACAAATTTATCAATACTTGCAATGATTTGTTACGAAACAGTGATTTCCTGCAGAAGAACACAACTGTTGTCTACGATATGAACACTAATTTTGATGACACTGAAAAGGCGAAGACGTTTGAGATAATGCCGAAGTCATTGGCAATGATTGCATCTGAAATGACTGAATATGATTCCCATCTAAACTATTTCGATGTCTATTCACTCCATAATAACGTCTTCTATGACCACAACATAAGCTTTGAATTAAAAGATAAAAACAATTGTTTGGACTATAATTTGCCGCAAAAACGCTTCAAATCGATTGAACACATACTGAACGAAGCGCTGACGCAAACCATTGGCCGAATCTGTTCCTCAATCTCTTCACAACTTCTTGATATGATTCTCAATGAATACAAGAGTTATTTCCAAAACGTTTGCGACTTTTATCTGTTGCGTTCAAGTCGTGTGATTCCCACCTATTGTTTGCATTTGTTTAGAAATATTAATGAAATGAATTCATCCAAAATTGACAGTTTGTATGCCTTGGAAAGTGACACCACTTTTGATTCAGTGCCCAATATTCAGCCATTTATCAGTTACGACGAGTCGTCCGTCGATGCCATTCACTTCTTTAAGAATATTTATCTCATTTACTCTCCAATTGAGTGGCCATTCAATGGTCTCTTCACTGATCAAGTGATGGGTCTTTTGAATCAAGTCTTCCAACTGTTGCTGAAAGTAAAGTACAGTAAATGGCTTTTGGATCACTTGATGTTTAGCCCGGAGTTCAAGTCATTGAATCGCAAGAATCGCATTCAAAATTTAATGAGATTTAAGCTTCAGATTTGTGTCAATAAATTATATAACTATTTGATGACCAAAATCGATGTTCACATCAACGAAACCATCACTCGATTCAATCAATTGGCAAATTTTGAAGAACTCCTTGAAATTCACAACCATTTTATCGTTCAATTAAAGCAAACGATATTTTATAAGCAAAAAACACTTCGAAATATTGTTAACAAATTGATTGAATTGTGTTCACAATTGGAAAGGATCTGGAAATCAGATAGTGATGGTAGCGACGGATCGCTTCAAGACATTGACTTAGATATAAATCGATGCAATCATTTACTCGAATGCTTTTATGAGGTTTTGCCGCAAAACATATTCAATTAATTTATGTCAAAAATATAGTTTTACACGAATTTATATAAATTTTATACTAAAATGAATACAAGAATTTGGTCATTGAATGTTCATTTCTTGCTTCTTTCCCAATGATTAATATGTTTTAATAAAATAAATATCACTTCTAAGGACACATATTTTATTCAATCAAATACAGTATTATGAAAGAAACCAATTAATAAGTGAATATAAATGTCGTTTGAATTCAAAATTAATGTAAAAAATCAAGAATTTAAGCATAAATTGAGAACGAAATGAAATGAAAGCATTTGTATAATAGTTTAAAGTGAATACAAAGCCATTACAATGAGAGCGAATGCAGTCATCACAATGTGAGCGCTAAGACCAGCGCCGGACGATTTGGCCTTTGGATTTGGCGATGTGATGTGTTCTTCAGGTTTTGGGGGTCCGTTCACCACTGGTGTGGGAGCGCCGCCATCGGCGCCACTCTTACTTGGGATACACGGCATATGCGTTGAACATTCAGGTTTGGACAACGGCTTCGATGCTTCCGGTCTAGTGTCACATCCAGTGAAACCAGATGTAGCACAAGTAGAGGTCATAAAGGCAACCATTGACTCATTCGTTTGACACCCAACAACTCCCGCCTATTGCAGCCAATTATCACAGCATTACAATCAGAGAGAGAGAGAGAGAGAGAGAGAGAGAGAGAGAGAGAGACTAAAATGTAGTCTATAGTTTATAATATAAATTACAATTGTAATACTAATTGTGATATTAAAAAATTGTGACCATTTGTATAAATATTATAAAAATTATAAATTTATTATTAAAAGAGTAATCAAATGTTGAATGCATTTACACTCCACACAACATAACGTTTCACATAAAGTTTGTTAACAAAAAAGTTATTCACTGAACGAGAAGTGAGACTAACTGTAAGAGAGAAATAGAAACCAATTCACGAGACATTCAATACAGCATTGAATGGAAAATTGGATTTCCGTTGAAATAGAGTTTTAGTCGAAAAGCATTGAATCGAAAGAATCAATTGCTTTGACAATCAATTCAGTCATTCCTTGTCATCACTTTGCGGTCCAATTCATTGATCCAATCGATGATGAAGTATATGAGCGCTGTATTGATGGTATTGGCGGTGACCAGTAGTGCGGGTGAAGTGGGAGCGGATGCGACCCAAACTGTGGATCATTTCGGCCACAAATGTACTGCCGATCAACAAACGAAACTCAAAGAGCAGTTCAAAAGCCCGTATAAGGACTGTTTGGACGACAAGTACGGAACGCCAAACTCGACGCCCATTAGCAACTTCACCGCCTCCTTAGAGCTATGCTGTCATTATACTGAATACTGGTGTGTCGTCGCAAAACTGGTAACGCGCGCTCTCTCTCTCTCTCTCTCTCTCTCTCTCGCTCTCTCTCTCTC